TTCTTAGCGTTGCGCTTTCGCTTGATCCCTTGCAAGCGCTTGAACTGCTTACTATGAGCGCTTCGAGCCATCCTCTGAAAATAATACGATTCCATTGAGCATAAATACGATCACACTTTAAATCTTAATAAAATATCAGGAACTAAGCTTGCCGCTTAGTTCCTGGTGAGGTAGCATTTGAAGTCACTCTTTCGTCTTTGCCAGGGTTGTTGTCCATGTTGGTTCCGAAGCTGTAAGAAAGCAAAGTACACATAGAGGGCAGCAAGGGTTGAAAAATGAACGCGCGCATGAACACGCACAGTGCGTTTAACTGGCATTGCTAAAGTACACTAGACCGGAAATTGTTATGACGCGAATTGTTCGAAATTCCGAGTTATTGTGAAGATCGCTGAGTATGCCCCCCACGGCGGCTAAGTATGAATACGACTTGGTCGTTATTGGCGGTGGATCCGGAGGACTGGCTGCATCCAAAGTAAGTTACAGTTATGCTGTGTATCACGTATGCTAATGTCCCGCGCTAGCGCAATGAAGGACAAGTGTTTTCAAAATTTCCCGAGATGTACTGAATTCTTAATTTTAGGAAGCCGCGCAGTTAGGCAAGAAAGTCGCGGTGTGTGACTTTGTGACACCCACACCAATCGGAACAACATGGGGGCTTGGAGGAACATGCGTGAATGTCGGTTGCATTCCAAAGAAATTGATGCATCACGCTGCTTTAATCGGGGAATTTGTGAAAGATTCAAAGCAATTTGGCTGGGAACCTGGCGAAGGTTAGTTGGCTCGCTCTGTCACATTTCTGCTAATACTGTAATAAGATCTCGTTGGTTTTTGCTTCACCGCAGGAAATCACGACTGGAACAAACTAGTTGAAATGGTGAAGAATCACATAGCAAAGCTCAATTGGGGATATCGAGTAGCCTTACGGAATAAGAAAGTACAGTATTTGAACGCCTTCGCCTCGCTCGTTGATGCTCATACCATCAAAACAGTGGACAAACGGGACAATGTGAAAACTATAACCGCCGAGAATGTCATACTCGCAATGGGTTTGCGTCCCCGGTATCCCGATATTCCGGGTGCTAAGGAATACGCCATTACCAGTGACGACTTATTCACGCTGCCGTATCCGCCCGGTGATACATTATGTGTTGGCGCTTCGTATGTCTCATTGGAGTGTGCTGGGTTTCTGCGAGAAATTGGATTCAACGTGACCGTCATGGTAGAGTCACTTGTCATTTTCTGTTTTTGCTTCAATTTAGGGGCTGAAATAGTATGTCGAGCGTGAACTACGCTGCAGGTAATACGGACAGTAGATTTACGCGTAATTCCGAATTTCGAGACCCTTTTAATGTCATAGTAGAAAACTGAAAAATTCGGAATCAGAAAAAAGGGTGGAACTTGCTCTCTGAACCCGAGATAGCTACTGTATTTTAAGAGGTTTTATCAGACGTAGTGTTATTTTCTCTTTGTCCTATAGTACGGTTATATTAAGTAGAAAAGCTGTTTATCTCCATTGTACAGAGTTCTTCGTTATAAATTTTGGTATAGTATTATTTCCGGTAATTACTGTTTTCGGTAATAACGCATCGTTCGCACCGATAGCCCCTTTATGTATCAGTGCGCTACCATTCTTTTAGGTGCGTTCCATTCTCCTGCGAGGATTTGACCAGCAAATGGCAGAACTTGTTGGATCGTATATGGCACGCCATGGAGTCGTCTTTCAGCGAGACCGAGTACCTGTGAAGATAGAAAAAATTGCGGATGGAAAACCTGGGAAATACAGAGTAACTTCTGTGGATACTCAGGGTGAAACCCGTCAGGATGTATACAACACTATACTTTTTGCCATTGGGAGAGATGCTTGCACAAGAAACTTAGGACTTGAAGCGGCGGGTGTTAAATTGAATCCGAAGTGAGAACAGTACCTTTGAATGTTTCGTTGTTAGTCAAGTGCAACTTATTTCTTCCTTGTTCACAGGAATTGGAAAGTCGTATGCACTCCAGACGAACGAACTTCAGTTCCGAACATTTATGCAATTGGAGATATTCTGGATGGAAAACTAGAGTTGACTCCCATTGCAATTCAAGCAGGCATTCGTTTGGTTCGGGTACGTGACTTATTTATTCTTAGTTTGCCTACTCATGAGAAATTTTAATCGATTGAGTGATTTCCGTAATTGTTATGCTTTTTTGGATAATTTTTTTTAAGGTTTCAGAAATAATTTTGTAAAACTTGCAAACGCAAGACAAAGGTCCAGTTTGAAGTTCTAGAATGTGCAAACATTTTTTTCAGCGAATTTTCGGAGGGTCCAAGTTGCTGACGGATTATGTGAATGTACCAACAACTGTATTCACTCCTCTTGAATACGGATGCGTTGGATATTCTGAAGAAGATGCGACTGGGAAGTATGGTGCGGACAACATCGAAGTTTATCACACCTTCTTTACGCCGTTGGAGTTTGAAGGAGCCGGTCGTCCTTCAAACGAGTGTTACGTGAAACTTGTTTGTCTCAAATCGGATAATGTTAGTTTGAAACTCCTCGTAAATCTGTTCTCATATTTGAGTCCTTCATTTACCTTTATTCTTTATCAGGAAAAAGTACTTGGCTTGCATATCCTATCCCCAAACGCCGGAGAAGTGACTCAAGGGTATGCACTTGGCATGAAACTGGGTGCGAAGAAAAGTGACTTCGACGAGTTGATCGGCATACATCCGACAGTTGCTGAAGTTCGTTTTCTTCAATATTTCATTTATATATTTTATCGAGTTCGTTCGAAAAGTTGGTTTGAAAGTGTATTACTGCACTTTTTGATTGCGTATTATTTAAAAATGTAGAAGTTTTCGGAAAATTGAAAATGAACATTTTTTGAGTGAATTTTTTTTTTTGATTCACCGAGTTACCGTTTTTTCATGACGTGCTAAATAAGACAAATGGATTCGAATACTCGATTAATTCGGTGCCAGGATAACTTTAGTATGAACAAACTGCTGTACTATAGGTGGAGGGGGAATTTCGCCTCATGCGCTCAACATCTCTTTCGTGAAATTTTTCAGGTGTTCACTACGCTAAGCGTTTCCAAGCGGGAGGATCCTGACGCGAAAGCCGCTGGTTGCTGAGGTTAATTACCTGCCGTCACGTCACCCGCAGTTTTACTCGGTGACGGATGGCAGGGTTGCCTAAATCCACGTGCGAACCTTCTTGGAATCCTGGATTTCAATTTGAAGTTCAAATGAGCTTCTCTTGTCTTTCCGGGCTTATGACGGTTTGATCCCTCAACTTCATGTTTGAAGGGGGAACTTACCCGATGTAACCCATGTGTAGGCTCGTCAATGCATGATGAACATCAATAGTTGCTGTCAATATGTCCGCATGTCTTACTTTGTTATGAATTTTCTTGAACTTACCGATTCTGTGCTGCGTTCCTCATTTTTGAACTTCGTATGTCAGCCTCCTCGTCATCTCTTTGAATGATTGTACTGTATTATCTTACTGACATGAACATACTAGTTTTAGCATTATTTTTGCATTGTGCCATTTCGCGTGCAGAATAGATACTTCTTGAATTCATCCGCACCTGTCATTCAAAAGCATTTTGCGGGTTCATAGCTTATTTTTTATTTCTCATTATTGACCAGCTTTTTATGTACATTTGAAGATCCACTGTAGTATGTCCAAGTGGAGTGATTGCTCGCGGATATGCTGGTTTTTTTTCTTCAAAAATCGTGGTTTTTGCTCTTTTTTAGGCTTTTGAAGCAATCGGATAGGTTGTCAACGAGGGTGATTTTGGTCGTCTATTGGGAAGTGATGAAATTCACGCATATTTACAGCAGAAAATCCTCTTACGACTGCAATATCTAAATATTTTTGTATTGCCAAGTTGATTCATCAATTCGCGCTCATAGCTTTTTGCTTTATCTTCGTCCAATGGAAAATTTCTGATGACCGCCTCAGTTTCTATGGAATTCAGTTCTTCTTTCTGAAAAGAAAAGTTTTGAAAGAATTACGGTGCACATTCCAGATTTGTACTTTCCATTATATTTTGCAGGTTGTCTCGCGCGAAAAAAAATTACTTCCCATCGGCATGTGGAGTAAGTTTGTCTTCCGCAATATCGTGCGCGAGAAAAGTGTGGCTGTGCGATGTCAATCAACGTTCTCTGTGGATCATTTTTCGAAGCTAACGACAGCGGATGTTTCGGCGACATACGACGTTTTAGTCGTAGGTGGCGGGCATGCCGGAACAGAAGCGAGTGCTGCTGCTGCCCGAATGGGTAGAAGCACTCTTCTTGTTACTCACAAATTGGATACTATCGGTAAGAAATGTTTTTTCGTGCAGCTTTGGTTTCGAGAAAAACACGAATCTTGTAGTCTGTTCGATTTAGGGCTTGAAGTCTAGCTTGCCACAGTTTAGAAAATGGGTTTTTCAGGGACCATCATATCTGATCGAGTTGCATATTTTTGTGGCCGTGGAAAGAGAGGTTTTTTTCGAAAGGTTGCGTGTATGTTATGTCTCACAGATATTTTACTTTTCCGATTTTCTGGCACTTCGCCGTCGTGAGGCCAGGCTATAATTCTTACATATTATGGACAAAGTGAAAGCTTTCATTCCACTCTCAATTTTCTGATCCATCTTCCGGGCGATTTTGAGGTTTTTCCTTGTGTATAGCACGTTAAGCAGAAAATGCGAGAAGTAGGAAACCTATTTAGGCATAGCGATGAGCGCTTCGAAAATCCGTTGGATCCATCTTATGAGTACATCATGTCGTTGAGTTACACGTGAATAATGAATTTCCGCGGCTATCACTTCGTCACTTAGTGCTCTCTGGAAATGACCGTGCTATAGTCATTTCCCTAACTGAAATTTTTTGTGAGTTCCTTTGTTAGGTAATACGTATTATGTGATGCTTGATGCGTTCTTCAGGGGAAATGTNGCGGCTATCACTTCGTCACTTAGTGCTCTCTGGAAATGACCGTGCTATAGTCATTTCCCTAACTGAAATTTTTTGTGAGTTCCTTTGTTAGGTAATACGTATTATGTGATGCTTGATGCGTTCTTCAGGGGAAATGTCTTGCAACCCATCTTTTGGAGGAATCGGGAAAGGACATTTGATCCGAGAAGTAGATGCCTTGGACGGTGTCGTTGGGAAGGCGTGTGATGAATCAGGAATACATTTCAAAGTGCGTGCTCTCAATTGCTGACACTTTGATTACCCATCCTAACTCTCTTGGCGTTTTCTTTTTCCTTTGTCTTGTTCAGGTCCTCAACAAAAGAAAGGGACCAGCCGTGTGGGGATTGCGTGCTCAAATCGACCGTCAATTGTACAAGTACAATATCCAGAGAAAACTTGCGAATCAACCGAACTTATGGATTCTCTCAGGCGCTGTTGATGATGTATTACTGGAGTACGATCCTGAGGGGAAACCATCCGTTACTGGTGTCGTGCTAGGTGAGTTCATTGTGTCTTTTCCTTGTAGTTAAGGTATGACGGAAAAAAGGAAAATATCCTCTAAATTGGAGTTATTGAATGAAATCTACAGAGACAACTTTAAAAAAACATTATGAAGTTATCGATGTTTACAGTATTATCTGTCAATTGTACGGTGGAATTAAAAAATTTTGGTTTGAAAGTGGCTATTTTGTCCTTGTCCGTCGTGTATCTGTCGATCATCTGACAGTGTTCCGTCCGAATTTCATCAGAGCACACTTTAAACTGTTGCATTACATTCTTTGATGACTTTCACAGAATCCGGTCAAATTTTAAAAGCAAAAACAATCGTGCTCACCACGGGAACGTTTTTGAGAGCTAGAATCATACTCGGAAAGCAGACAGTAGCTGCCGGTCGAATAGGAGATCGTTCCTCCGTCAAATTGGGGGAAACCTTGATAGAAAAGCTCAAATTCAAAACGGGGCGACTCAAAACTGGTACGCCTCCCAGAATTCTGGGTGAAACTGTGAATTTTTCAAAAACAGTGAAGCATCTCGCTGATGATTCTCCGACTCCGTTTTCATTTTTAAACGAAACTGTCCTCATCGATGTGAGTCTTTCGAATTTTTTCCCGTTGAGTTAATTTTTATTCGTAATGTTTTTTGCTTTCAGCCTATGTATCAATTGCCTTGTTACATGACGAAAACTACTCCGCGCGTCGATGAGATTATCAAGGCTACCCTTCATTTGAATGATCACGTCGGGGAAGAAATTAGAGGAGCAAGATATTGTCCATCCATTGAATCCAAAATTTTGAAGCAAGTACCGAATGATCATTATGTTGGATTTTCAAATCGATACACTATACTGTACAGTACAGAAACGTTGGTCAGCAAATAACATAATTTTGTTGAAAAACATTCTTCTTAGCTGAACGAGTCTTCCTGAAAAGTTCTTTAAATTTGATGAAAATGCTCTGGTGAAAAGGTTTGGAGGAAGATCTCATCAACTTTGGCTGGAGCCTGAAGGGCTGACGAGCAACCTGGTGTATCCTCAAGGAATGTCCTGTACGATGCCGGAAGAATATCAAGTGGAGCTTATTAGATCGATTCCGGGCTTGGAAAATGCGACGGTTGTTCGACCAGGTGACATTTGCTTCGTTTTTCAAGGTTCCCAACCTGCTTTTTAAACCCCTATGCTCCAGAGGAATAAGATAAAACAAAGGTTGAAATAAAATATTTTAATCGAAATTACGGTCCGAAATTCGAGATAAATAGCATGGAGAAAGTTTTTTAAGTCCCCAAACAATTTTATGCAAGGCATGGTAGACCTAAAGGACTTCGCCATATGATCAGGTTTTAAAATGGGCTCTGCTGTAGAAATTCATCCCATAAAGAACATCTCCAATAGAAAATGTTTGAAGACTCTGAATCTTATCTAATCTGTTTATGAGCATGTAGCTTAAATTACAAATAATAATTCATGATTTAAAATCATTACAGTCGTGTGTAGCATGCGTCCAAACCCTCGGGATTATCATGTAAAAGCGGCTCATGCAGAATTTTTTCACCTTTTCCTAACGTTTTATATGTGTTCTAGGCTATGGAGTAGACTACGATTATGTCGATCCCCGTCAGCTGAAACTTTCCCTTGAAACAAAGCCAGTCGATGGACTCTTCCTAGCCGGACAGATCAATGGCACTACTGGTTACGAAGAAGCAGCTGCTCAAGGAATTGTTGCCGGAATTAATGCTGGATTGCGGGTACGAGTTGAATCACGAAGTCGAAATGAATTTCGTCTTTCAAAAATCAATTTTTTCAGGCTACCGGCGATGATCCCATGATCATTAATCGCTCTGAGGCGTATATTGGTGTATTGATCGATGATCTCGTGACCCGAGGAACCTCCGAACCTTATCGAATGTTCACATCAAGGTCGGAGTTCAGATTAACTTTGCGGCCTGACAACGCTGATTTTCGATTGACTGGCAAAGGTTTTTATTGCGGAGTCATTTCACCATAACATTCCTACCTCTTGTTCATTGATAAGCGATGCCGGTATGAGAATCGGCACATTGAAATGATTCACGCACCGCCTTTCTTGAAAAGAAGTTTAAAAAGATATATCTTTTTATTCTTGTTTAATCATTTTTTAAAACTCGTAAATCACTTGAGAAAACGGGTGAAATCATCAGAATATATTTTTGATGTCCGGTTATCCAGGACTCAATTAAATTTTCAAAGATTTCGATTAATTTTGTTTTTAGTGAAGATTAAGCTGCTTTTTTTTTTTGAAAAAAAAAAAATGGTTTCACATACTGTACTGTAGATGTACGTGTTCGTTATCTCGGACAATTTTTATGTCAGAGGGTGTCGCCTCAATCTCTATCGAAAAATGTAGACCATTGACCCTGATGAACTTCGCCCAACAAAATTTGTGTGATTGCGGTACTGCAAAATTTACATTAAATTAGTGAAATAACTTGACTTAGGGCTTCGGTGATATAACCAGGAAGTATTGTCTAAGGATGAAACCAAAAATGTTTTCGGCATTTTCTTAAATTGCCAACAAAGGTGCAATTCATGGAGCTGTTTCCAGAGCTCGACTCGAACATTGTGATGCAATGAAGACTGATTTGGACAAATTGAAGACTCTCCTGTCTTCTGTACACTATCCTCTTGATCAATGGAGACGAAAACTGGGCCTACCCTCGAGCAAATCGGCCCCGACGTATTTGCGAACGTATGTTTGTCAGCCGTGGGTTTTTGTTTTATCATCATGGATGAGTCATTAATTTTAATTTCAAAAACGTATTTTATTTGCAGCGGCTTTGAGATTTTCGGTCTACCCAATGACGTTATCTCTTTAGAGAGCTTGTCAAAAATTGTGCCTGGTTGTGACGAATTTCTTGGCAACAAAAACTTGGAAAAGCGTCTCCGAGTGAGAATGCAATTTTTATGGTAATTAACGAGGATTTAAAATTTAATATGCACGTTTTAGATCGAGGCTTTGTACGAGAGAGCAATTGAAATGGAGAAAGACGAAATACTTGAGGTTCGGAAGTATGAGAGTATGCTCTTACCTGCGGATTTGGATTATTATGCGTGAGTGGAAAATTTTGAGTCTGTTTTTTTAAGATACAATATCTCCCACTTCCATTGGTTTTTGTATCCTCCGCTTCAGGAACGAGATTAGCCTGTCAAATGAAGTGAGAGAAAAACTGGCAGCATCACAACCTCAAACGGTGCGTCCTTCATGCGTGCCGCTATGGTCAATGAATTCAAACACACCCTTTTCCAGATCGCAGCTGCATCTCGTATTCCTGGAGTTACCCCGGCATCGATTGTCAATCTCTTGGCGTTCGTCCAGCGCAAGCAAAGCTCATCTCGAATGTTCAGTTAAATCTAAACTGTCTAATTCAAGTGAAATATCGAGATTCATTTCTGATATTCAAGATTTTAATTCAAAAATAGTGAGACACAGTCAAGATTTATGGTCTTCTAAAGTACAGTACTTCACTTTCCTACCCGAAAAATGAACTCCGCTGGGTGAAAAAAAAAAAAGTCCTTGTGACCCATTTGAAAACGATATTTTCATATTGAGAACATGAAGTTTCTTGAGGGCTGAGCATTGCTTGACTTCATTCCTGGTTTCAGCATGTATTTCAAACGGAGCTTGCCAACACTTGAGGAAACATAATCAAGTGAACGAGCCAGGTAAGCTTCAATGTTGTATTTGATACGAGTGTTTTCCTAGTGTAACGTGTAATAAACTGTTACACTAATTTACTGCGTCAGAAGAACTTTAATTTTGTATGCGTGAACGCTCATGGCAACGTTTATAAATCACTCCCAAATTTTCTTAAATATTTTTTTCGAGGCACATTACATTTTGGACAGTTTCAAATTGTATTCTGTTGTGCGAATCTACTGTCACTGCCGAACGCGAGTGAATCGGTCGGCTTTTCGTAGTTGGAAGAAAGTTAATTTTTATAAATTATGTGAATTACAAAAAAATGTATGCGTATATCTTCTTCATTTCGAGTTGATGATGTTGAATTCCTCTTGCTTCATCGACTTCGCATTTTCATTTCTTTGGTTTTTTCAGTTTTTTTCTCCGGTTCCTTTGCTGCAGTCCGGTTCACCATGTTGGCTCGCAAGATGAGAGCGTTTATACAGCGTTCTGATTAAGAAGCCCGATGATTGATTTTGAATACTAAAAAAAAACAACCATTGCTGAGAAGAAAATTTCCATTTTCAGATTCTCTCACGTAATCTCGATTTCTTTCGATTCTACTTTTTTTTCTAATCTCGTGCTGTTGAGATATGTCGACCAAAGCTATAGTGGTTGAAAAGATCCCAGTGGTAACTCCAGCCCCTGTTCTACCTACGAGAAGACGCGTTGCTAAATGGTATTTCGGTGGTCTCGCATCAGCGGGTGCAGCTTGTTGCACGCACCCTCTGGACTTGATCAAAGTTCACCTGCAAACTCAGCAAACTGGGAAATTGAGTCTAGTTGGAATGACAGTTAAAATTGTCAAGCATCAAGGCGTTCTTGCGTTGTACAATGGTCTGAGCGCCTCACTCCTACGTCAGCTCTCCTATTCAACAATTCGGTGAGTTAGATTGCTTTCCATATCCATGAATTGTCCGTTTTTTATTATTGAAATTTTTTAAGAATTTTAGATTGCTCTTGATCTTTTCCAGGGCGTACTGCAGTTGGAGAAGTTTTTGTGCATTAAAAACGTCGTGTTAAATTAAGTTCGCTTTCACTGACAGGCTATGTATGAGTAAATTTTGATCCAGTGCTCTTAAGCATTGGAACCAAAAAAAATTAATCTGCTGCGTAAAATTGTACTCTGTTGACGTCGATTTTTTATTTTTCATACTTCTCTTAGTTCCAGCATCAAGCGGGAATCGTCAACATCGTGCTCAAGCTAAACATGGTTGCCGGAATAATGCTTTATGTAACCCCTATATAAGCTCAGTTTGAATAAGTCAACTTGCTTACGTTTGCAGTATTTAAAATTCAACTTACAATCGTTCGTTTCCATGATTTTTGGTTTTAATAATTGTGAACTTTGAATTTGTTGATTTTTGAAGCACATTCGAATTTTTCGCGCTTCTGAAGTAAAAAATATTTTTATAGAAAATCCAGTTTTCTTCTCATTCCGTAAAATTTAATTACTCCGTGTGTAGTTTTGGAATCTACGAAGTATCCAAGCAGGCTGCCGCTCCGGGCGGCGAAGCCATCCCATTCATCATGCGGATTGGTATGGCAGCTGGAGCCGGTGCCTGTGGTGGTTTCTTCGGCACCCCGGCGGATCTGATCAACGTTAGGATGCAAAACGATATAAAGCTACCTTTGGAAGAAAGACGAAACTACAAAAATGCAATCGACGGATTAGTGAAGGTAATTGAAAAAATGCATCTTTTATTTTTTCGCTTTCTGTGGCCGGATTCGACAAAAGAAGCTCCGGTGAGCGTGTATTAGTTTTTGTTGGATTGGACTTGTAAGTTGATGCAGTATGCGATATTTAGATTCCCCTTTCTCTTTCGCTTATTTGCAAGTATCTTTTGGCGTCTGAATTTGCACCATAGGCAAGATAAACCACCTGAAGGAGATGGGAAGAAGATTATTTTTTACGGTGTTGGGCCTTGAGATTGATTCATGGTCCGATTGCCGGGTTCATCAATTAAGAAGGCGTTTTAATCCTTTTCCAGAAAAGAATGGCCGATAAATTTCATTTGTTGAGCTTTCTTTTATTTAATTTTGTTGATTTTTCTCGAGTTGAGACCATAATTTTTTTTTATCTTATCATGAATCTGTTGAATATGCTATGTGGATACACAAGCGATACCATCCCTCAGTTTGCCCGTGACGTATTGTCGTTTTCTTTCCAGGTTTACCAAACGGAAGGTCTGAAACGTTTGTTTGGTGGGGCTACAATGGCGACTTCGAGAGCCGTCCTGATGACGGTAGGCCAGCTCTCATTTTATGACCAAATCAAAATCATGCTGCTGACTACTCCATACTTCAACGACAACCTCGTCACCCATTTCACTTCCTCTTTGCTTGCTGGAGCAATTGCCACTACTATGACCCAACCGCTGGATGTTTTAAAGACGCGCGCAATGAACGCGAAACCGGGCGAATTCAAGAGTCTCATGCATCTAATCGCTTACACAGCAAAACTTGGTCCTCTAGGATTTTTCAAAGGTTACGTGCCGGCATTTGTCCGTCTTGGCCCGCAAACCATATTGACTTTCGTGTTCTTTGAACAACTGAGGCTCAGTTTTGGCATTGACAAGTGAGCTTCTGAAGCAGTGCTAGCGTTTCCGTAGATATGTGCCCTGAGGCTGGGTCGAAGGAGGTAACCGTTGCCGTATTTTCCAAGTGCAATATTTTGAATTGGAACCGGACGAAATGGGTTGGTTGAGGTTTATTTGTTACGTTGAAATGGAATTGTGTTCCCTGTTTGTTTCTGTAGAACATGACTCTTACATTTACTCGGCTGATGTGAGCGTGAGAATCTTCGAACAATTCGGTTGAATTTTGCATAGGTATGTTATACCGCTTGCTTGTCGAGCACCGAATCAACGTTATGCTTTGTTGACTTGGTTTTCCTGTGTGGCCCGTTTTGAGCATGGGATCCATCTCACGAAGTCGTTCAAAATCAAGAGAAAATTCGTAGGAAACGTCGTTCAACGTTGGGTTTCGGTATTAGAACGCCTACGTGGTACCTATTAGCAATCTCCTGGAAATAAGGCTTCGAGCGTATCTTCCTTGGGAACAGGTTCAACCCGTCATCGTCGATTGTTCTATAAATTAGTTAACTTCTGCTTTTTCGTTCTATGTTTTTTTTCTGTGTGAACAAGTCATGAAGTAAACGTCGCGTACAAATTCAGCGTTCCACTATTTTAAATTGCCCTTCCGTTTACTACCGAGTTCCATGTCCTAAAGCTGAACCGATAGGTTAAAGCCTATCGAAATAATAAAAAATTCTCAGAAATTTTAAAACTCGAAATTTTCATGATCCTATTGATCATTAAATTCTATGGATCCCCGTAGAGCGAGAGAAGGGAAAAAAATCAACGCTGCGCGGAGCTTTTTTCGTATTGATACTACCTATTTTTTGGTTGTGTCGCGTAATGTGAATTTTTGTCAGGCCTTCGCGCATTCGGACTGTTCGAAACATCGAGTACTAATGAACCGCTTTAGTTTTTTTGCAAGTTTTTTCCTGCGAATCAAAAAATGCGTATGTGCTGACGTGATCGAGAAAATCCTTTTTGTGCAATATTATCGTGTCTCGTACAGAATCTGATGCGAGTTCGCGTTGACTTTTTGGAATTAGTAACAGGTGCGGGGGGGTCCAACTTTTCATCAGGCGCACGAGGCTCAAGGTTCACGCGTGTTCGGAGTCTCGCCCTTCACGGTTTCATTGGCAATCACTCAAGCTTCCCGAAAAAATATTTCTAAGCTTGAAAGAACTTTCTCGAGTGTTTTTCTGGTATGTGACTGACCTAGGAAAATTGTCGGATGTGATAACAGGATGTAAGGAGGGGTTACGTAAAATGTCGTGTTGGAATATTTTCCGTCGGGGGATTTTGGAAGGCACAGAATTGGGTCAGCAGTCATGTCAGACCACTTACTTCCAGGAGGAGTACGATCGTACCTCCAGGTACGATCGTACTCCTCCTGTATCTCCTGGATACAATTTTTTTGACACATCTTGTTGTTCCGCTACTTGATGTTGGTAGAGCTGGTCAGCAATTTTTTTTAGCGGTCTTCGTATCCTGTGAACCTCTGATAGTTTGGTGACCAGAAATTGCCGCCAATGCAATAAACTTGAATTTGTTGCTCTGTGGCTGTATGTTTTCTTTTACGTCAGCGGAAGGTTGGACATCCCCGGGCATGTTGATTAACTTTGTAGTGACCAACTTGTCGAGTGTTTTTGTGTGTGTGTGTCATGCATACAGTACAGTTGAACGTTACTCCGAGTGTTGCGGAGATGGCATTGGAAGAAAATAAACGCGAGAACGTATGCTTTTTTTTTATTCCAGTAATTGCTGTCATGCTTAATGCGTCACTTCCGATGTCTTTGCAGGGTGTGAACTGTGTCGCGGTGTTCTTCATGAAAAATTTGAAATTGTTGATGTGCTGCTTAGGAACTTAGTTCGCGTGGAAGTTTGACACGATGAAGGATTGAAGACATACCATTATATGTATCTTGTGACGAAGTTATTCGAAATGAAAAATCTATAATCGTGTAGGCTGACTTTCTGCGCGACTAAACTCAATGAGCAGAAGAAAATTATTTATTGTTGGGAAGTGTGTCAAAGTGCATCGGTAATATCCAAAGCGGACTGGGGTTCGGTGATATCAATAAATGACGAACTTATTGTTCTGAATGGAATGAATCAAAATCTTCGGTTTAAAAAACAAGAATACTTGTCGACTAGCTTTAACCGTGTACAATCGAAGTAAACAAAATATGTCGATGAGGAAATGGAAATACTGTATGTTACTGCAGGATATTGATACAGTGTAATATTTTCCAAGATTATTGAAAGCCTGTTGTGGAAAAATCTTTTCTATTCACAACAAAATTAGGAACGTTGAATTTGACCAATGTGACTAGCGAGCTAATCTTATCTTCCGTGATGAATTTTCGTTGACTTAGGAAGCGAACTTCATGGAATTTAAAGTTACAACTTCTGGCACTTCTTCTGCTCCGCAGAAATTGTTGAGAGAGCGAGATGGCGAATACGCTCCGTCAATACTTGAAACATCTGACGCATCGGAAACTGTTGGTTACTTATCCAGTGGTTGCCGTCGCCATTGGACTTGGATTGTACATGGAACGTGTGGAGAGTGGACGTGCCGTCAGTTTTCACAACAAGAGCCACTTGTTCTACAAGGAACCGAGCAGTTCGGAGAATCTGTCTTCTTAATGAAGTTTATCTCGCTGCACGGAGTTGGCGTGAAGTCGAAGTGCAATTTTTCCCCCAAAAAATGAGTTCTTAGCCCGTGCTGGAGTTCTTAGTTGTTCGATTGCGTCTGAGGTTCCGGATATACATCGTGTAGCCTTTTCTTATAGTGCTTTTACTGCCTTCGTTTGAATTTTTATTATTCCTGAAAAAGTTGATATTTTGAAGGTTATCATGATTCCCCTGAGTGCTTTGCGAGCAGCACATGTGTGTGGTCGTCTTTTAGGTACTCGATGTCTTCTGATTTCCGGTAAGAGTTCGGATTCCAAATTTGTATTTCTGGTTTAGTTGTCTTTTCTTGAAGTCGTGATTTCTGTCATATTCAGGACAGTCCTACCGAGGTTACCGGCAATGGGTATCAAAGTATCGAAAACATATTTTTGATTGCAATAAGGAGCGTGGAAAGGTCGAACCAAGTCCGAGATCAACTTGGGTTGAATGGTGAGCAAATATCTTCGAAGTTGTCCTTTGAATTAATTAAAACAGAAAATGTATGCAGTTGATTGCTGAAATAAAGTATTCATATTGCCCCTAAATAAGGCACAGTATTTACTAAACTTTGGTAGATATTTCACGCGAGCTTTGAAAATGTTCTAGAATCGTCCTTTTTATATTTTCTCTTAATATTAATTTTTGCAGCTGTTCGTTGCGACATTTAGAGCGTCGATCGACATTTTTGATCTGGATGATGTTGATGGGTATTCAGTACCATAAAAGAGCAAGTACGAAATTATTTCGTCTCGGGAGGATAAGCACGAAATTGCAAATTTTGAAAAAGCCAGTCTCGTGAGACCCCGCATGAGCGAATGCACGAAATATCGAGCAATGTTTCGGAATTGTACCAATTCTGATAGACAATATTTTGACGAACATTTCGGGACTTTTTTTTTACCCTTGCTCTTCTCTTCGCAAACTTATTCGTTCGTAATCCAACTGCTTTGAAACTTATTTTTCTGACATGCGTCTTACTAGGAGCTTTAACCGAAGACACTTCCATCAATCCTGAATTATTAAAATTTTAGGAATTACGACGCTGAGTTATACGCGTTTGGGAAACGATTGGGGGAAGACTTCGACCCTCAAATACTCCGCCTGGCATTAACACACAAGTCCCACATTGAGGCTGAAACTCAACGACGGCGTTCACTGGGAGTCAGTGATGCTGATTTGAATACAGATCAACACAATGGCCTTTTATTAAAAGCCGGACGCACGTTCGTGTCATCTTATCTTCTACGGCATTTGCAAGCAGCCTTTCCTGCATTTCCCAAGGAGGGCATTTCGAGCTTGAACGGGTATTTGATGTCGGATGATGCATTGTCAGTTGTAAGTTTTCATCTGGGCGTGAAGGACCTGATTTTGTGCCAAGAATATCCTCCCAGCGAAACGACCCTCGCGGACACGTTCCTCGCTATTGTGGCTGCCTTGAATGGGGACGCGGTCAGAGAACGATTCATTCGTGACTTTCTTGTGACGCAGTTGTGTGGGAAGAACGTGTATGAAATTTGGAATCCCGCTGATCCGAAAAAACTCGTTACGGAGATTCTTCTCGCCACGAGGAAGTCAGCCCCCGAATCTAGATTGCTGCGTAAAACTGCCGTTAACACGTTGGAAGCAAATTTTAATGTCGGTATCTATTGTGACCAGCGTTTAATTGGTTACGGCAGTGGGGAGACTGCTACTATTGCCGAAAATTCTGCTTTTGTGGATGTTCTGCGAAGAATGTTTCGCTTAGATGATTCTCGGTCTCCTTTGCAATTTCCGATTGAAGTTGAGTCCCCGGATCCAATTCATGCTCGTTTGCAAGCGCGCGAATGAAGCATGTGTTTTTTGTTTCGTGTTTGAAATGGAATTTTTTTGGCGTCTCATATCTTTCGGAGTTTCAATTTTGATGTTCGTCACATATGAGACCAAAATTGAAATTGCTTAATCTGTTCTACGTTCATAGACAAAACAATTTTTTCGCGATGGGAGTGACGGGGTTGTGGGGTGTGTTGGAACCGGTCTGCAAGCCTATTTCTTTAGAAGCCCTGGAAAACAAGACACTTGCTGTCGGTAAGTACTCACGACCCAATCAATTTTGATGCTCATTGAATGTTTTTTGAAAACTTGAAAATATGTTGTAATCCTTGGGCAATTGGAACGTGTCGAATTAAAAAAAAAAACTATTCAAAAAATGGATATCTTCTGAGAAATTTAGTGAAAGCCATTAGAAAAGCATATTATGCTTTTCTTTCGAAATTTAAGGTTTTCTCCGAATTGTGAAAGATCAGCGAGTTTTTCTAACTTGAAAGTCCATAGTGCACAAGCTCTTTCATAGCTTGCATCCGATGAAAGTCAGTCCGGGCCACACGAAAATTGGTTCAAAAATCCTGGTCAAGTTTTTTCCGGCAAGAAAATCCAACTGCGCGTAGATTTTTGAACTTCCGTCCCGTGCTGCCAACACTTGCGTTAGAACAAGTCTGATCGGTTAATTTTTCAGAGTTGTCACGTGTGGTGAGATGAATTCGAACTTTCAAATTTCAGATGTGTCAATATGGCTTCACCAGGCGATCAAGGGTTTCCGTGATAAGCGTGGTCAAACAGTTGCCAACGCTCATCTACTTGGGCTCTTCCACCGAATTTGCAAGCTCATGATGTACAGAATTAAGCCCGTTTTCGTTTTCGATGGCGGAGTTCCGTTGCTGAAGACGCAGACAATGGCTGCGAGAAGAAAACGGAAGGACGTGGCCGCGCAAAGTGCCCAGGAGAAAGGCCGGGAAGTTTTGCAGAATTACTTGAAACAACACGCTGTCAATGCGGCACTTGGGAAACCCGCTCCAGAACTCCCGACGAAACCTAAGGAAAAAGATGTTTTTGCTTTGCCTGACACGTTTCAGGCTTTGTGTTCGAAAAGCGAAAGCGAGTCTGAGGCAGAAGCTTCAAGTGAGCATTGATTTGTTTTCTGTACATTTTATGTTCTTTCGGAGTCGTGTTGCGTATGAATTGCTACGACGAACATCAGAACTAGTTAGGGATAATTAAACGGTCTCAGTGTGAAAAGAAGCAATGCCATAAGTAGAGCATCAAATTAATTAGGTAGTCATTTGGTTAATTTTCTCGCTTAATGGGAAAACTTAATTCATTTTTTTAGCTTTTTTGACCCGAGACGGCCAGGATCTGAGGAAAATACTTCGTGCCCAAATATGACGTGTATTTATAACCTTGAAAAATTGGCGCTGGCATATCCGTGTCCTGAAACGGTACCTTGGGAAAGTCGATTTTTGTTGATTCTACAAAATTAAGTCCCCTTTCTCCCATTCATGTTTTCCAGGCGACGAAGAGACGCGTAATCCCGCTTTCTTCAACATCAACATACACGACGTTGACGTTGAAAGCGATGCGTTCCGCGCCTTACCAGCGCCTGTGCGACATGAAATCTTATTAGATTTGAAAGACACACGCAAAACGAATTCCTGGAATCGACTGCATGAAATGCCGAAAGAGTTTGAACAATTTTCCTCCTATCAAATAGGTCGATTGCTGAAACGCCGTCAAGTGCAAGTGAGTGGTTCTATCTGTCTCATCGTCTTGAGATACTCACTGTATATGATTTTGGGTTGTAAAAATAATGAAGTTATGAAGTTGAGTATGTATTTAAAAATTAATCTGTTGTGTGTTTCAAATCTTGTATGAAGCGTGACATCTATCATCGCTGATGAAATTTCTCGATTGACAAATTGGAAATAATGCCAGATGGATTTGAAATTCTTTCTGCTAATTACCTCAATTTTGGAACGCCTTGAATACAGCTTCCTGATATTATGGATTATTTTTCGTTGAATCATATGAAGTTTTTGTCAAAAGCTATCTCTCTTTCGATATTAAGGAAACATTGGACGAAGTTGTGAATGAAATCGGGTCCGAGCGTATGTCTTTCGGTACAAGTGAAGAAGATCAAGAAAGGAAACAGCTCATGTGGGGAAGCAGAGTTGCTTCAGATGATGCCCTTCGGATCGCATGGATTGAAACAGTTGCTCCAAAAAAATTAAAGAAAGAAAATAATTCAATTAAAATCGAGGCGGAGGAAACAATATCCCCGTGAGTCTCTTTTTGAATAGCTGATGAATTTATCTCTTCTTTAGTTCGTCTTTCTTTTGAAGTGCCGCAAAATCCCCCATCAACGAGAGGTCGTCTGAGATCCCTTTTGGAAATGAGTCCGCCAAGAAGTCGAACATTTCGAGCCTGAAAGACTCAGCACAAAAAGTGAACTATAGTGAGCCGAAAAAATTCCCCAAGTCTCAGCCGGAGCTGAATTTATCCAGCGACGATGATGATTTCGTGGAAGTAGAAATAGAACCGAAGAAACTGTTGGAAGACGATCTGTTCGCCGACGTATTCACTTCCTCTAGCGCAGGACAAATCGCAGCCATGGATGCGATTTTTTCCAAGTTGGTGAGCCAGTCCAAGCCTGGGACTTTAAAAGTGACTGAAAATAAACCCAGCGCTTTGAAAACCGTTCCCGAACTGGGCCGCGAAGAGACGCGACAGCCCGCCAAACCCTCTCAGATACATCTTAGTTCTAGTGATGAATATTCTTCGGAAGAGTCTGAAGACTCCGATTCGTCTTGCAGTGATGCAATGCCTGTTGCAAGTAACGGGTCAGTTGAAGCCGACGGATCCATTGCAAGCCATCATTTTTGTGAAGGACAAATTGAGGAGGACGAATTGAGTGTCAGTTGCGAAGATGCAGTTGTCACATCGGCGATTGATACAGAAAAAGTGGTTGATGCTGAAGTCGATTTTGTTGAAGTAGATGACTCGTCTGCAGATACATTTCAACGTGAAACACCTGTGGTTTCATCTGAGGCGTCTCCTGCCGCAAAAGCGGATCAAGCAGTCGAGGATGTCGTAATACTCGGTGATTCTGCAGTCGATGTAGTAATGGTTTCTTCCCCGACTCCAAAAGCCGAAGTGCCTGATGATGTTACCGAAAAAAATTCCCAACCCTCTTCAAAATCAGATGGAGTTGAAACTACCGATTCATCAAAAGTTTCGTCGTCGATTCAACTCGAGAGGCCCCTTGTGTCCGAAGCACTGACGAACAAAACGGAAGCATCATCTCCCTCGAAACCGTTTAGTTCCGCTCTTGTTGATGCATCCAATTCACCGTCAAAAACGTTGCTTGCCTATAGTCCCAAAAAATCCCAAGAAACGTACCAGAGCCGATTTACTGAAGAGGAGAGGAAGAAATTAGAGGAAATCAAGAGTATCCTGGAGCGAGAACGGGCCTCATTGAGTTTGGACATGGGAAAAGTTGATCGCATGGCTGCAAGCATTTCTGACCAAGTTTACCTTGAAGCTCAGGTGAAGATCGTTTGAATTTTTTGTCGAATGATTAGGCATTTCAATCTAAATTACGTTTTGTTTTGTCATTGCACAGATTCAAAAAATCTGCTGATCGGATCTTTGGCAGTTTTTCTGAATCTTTTTTTTATTTATACTGTACTTCAAAATTCGCATTGAACGGATTTATTCTCCGTGTGCTACTGCGTTGAATAAGCAATCTCCCAATTTTTTCTGAAGTCCTGGTTTTTCCTTGAAATATTTATTGCATTTTTAAACGACTGTAGCTTTTTAGATGTGATTCTCCTCGATCATCATATCACCAAATCGCGTTTAGGCGCGTCGGTTTAGGACTTGTGCGCGAACAATCCGAGCGCCGATGATAAGTTTTCATGGTTCATTCTCACGATCAATTCCTTGGATATTTTCAGGAGTTGCTCAGATTATTCGGCGTGCCATTTATCACGGCACCACTGGAAGCAGAAGCGCAATGCGCGTTTCTCGACATTCATAACCTTACTCAAGGCACAATTACCGACGACAGTGATATCTGGCTCTTCGGAGGCCGCAGAGTTTACAAGAATTTTTTCAATCCCGATAAAACTGTTCAGTACTTTGAAATGCCTGTGATTACGCAAAGACTGGGACTGAAACGCGATGAACTCATAAATTTCGCGATCCTCTGTGGAAGTGATTATTGCGAAGGTCTACAAGGTGTCGGGGCGGTTGTTGCATTGGAGTTGTTGGGACGCTTTCCCGGGGACGGTACTGCAAAATTGGAAAAAATGAAGGAATGGTGGAGCGAGGAGCAAGACGCGACGGAAGCTTGCTTGAGGTACATACGGGTTGTTGATGATGGAGAATTTTTAAATTAATGATATGGAACACGATTTTGCCCAAAAATCACGCTGTAATAAAAAAATTTCATCAGAAATGTTTAGAATTGTGAGAGAAAGTTGGAAATTTTTTTGATGCATTGCAGACTGAGTGTAACAATAGAACATGGTCCAGCCTTAAAATTTCTGGTTGACTGAATGGAAAGAAAATAAAACTCACTGCTGTATTGAAATAAGTAAGAATTTCCCTGTTAACTTTCAATTTTTCTTTCGGTAATCGTAATCTGATCAACAGAGGGAATATCGTCGCATTATGGGAAAATTTTCGAGCGTTTGTGCGACTCATTGACAAATGTTCACCTCGTTGAGGTAATGCTTAATTTTGCTTTTTAAAAAATGCGAAAGCTGACACTGTAATCATCTGCTCATGTTTCTAATTCTAATTGACCACAATGTACATTTTAATGGAAGCAAGAATTCTTGAATTTCATCATTATGAAAGTTTGACTATACAGTACAGTATTTTCATGCTCTGCCGCATTACAGACGCTTGAAAGCTGCGACGATTCCCGAAGAATTCCCCTCTCGAATGGTTATTGATGCATACATGAATCCAAAAGTTGACGATTCGACAGAAAAGTTTACGTTCTCTGTTCCGGATCTGGACGGATTACGAGAATTCATGCGAGCCAAAATTGGGTGGCCTTCCGCAAAGACGGACGAAACCCTGCTTCCCGTACTGAAGCGCATGGACTTATTCGGCGTAAGTGTAATTTCAAATTTCCCTCACTGTTTTAACCTTATTTTCCCGAAAGTCAGATGTGTTTTTCCATTTTCATTTTTTATCTTCTGGCTGGGAAGGTTAGGGAGCTTCATATTTGTGTATTTGTGTTTTACATCCTGTGACTAGAAATGTAGGTTCTATTTGAAAAAGCAAAATTGCCTGCTGAAATTAATGCTGAGAAACAGAATTCTAACATTCATTTGACCCAAAGGCTGTCCCTCTACAGTTTTAATGTCACAAATTTCATGTCCATATAAACACACTGAATAAAATTAACATTGTTGTAGTTAATGAATAAAGTATACTGCATTACATTATAATGAAAATAATTACGGTATTAGTCGTATTACTGTAATTATCGTGACTAGTGGCTCATGATTGTGCTGGGGTTGAATAAAGGAAGCTGTTCAATGCTTCTTTGCTTCTTTCGTATCATATTTTCAGGAAATGAGCTACACATTCTGATGATATGTTATCTTTAATGCAGAAGCAAACAAGGATCGATTCCTATTTTGCCGTCAACCCAATGCAACCTCCGAAAGTCGCAAGTGCTCGTGTTCAGCGAGCGATCGATGCACTTTTAAATCCTTCAGCTCATGCTGAAGTTAGCACCGAACCACGTCCCCGTAGCCATGCGAAAAAATCCGTTAAACGTCGTCCGACAGCTGAACTGAACCTGAGTGAAGATGATGATGATGACGAGAATCCCAGTGGTGCTCCAGTTGGTGTTCCGTCGTCCTCGCGAGGTCCGGGATATAACATTGGGCTCGATGCGATGGAAGAATCCGATCTAATTTCGGAGACCTCGGGGAATTCTCGGGAAAAAGCTGCTCCGAAACGAAGGAGAGCGACTGTCAGTCGTCCGAAGCAACCAATCCCAATTCCATCTGACCCAATCCGTGCCCGTATTGCCCGGAGGCTCATCGCTGCATCGGCCGCTGCTCAAGTCGCACGGAGAGATACTCGAATCAATGCTTCTCTGATGGACGGTGATGCTGGAAGCAAGTCCTCGAATCGTGAGCCACGTCAGAAACGTCGTCCTATCGTGCCTTCTTACACGAAGCCAAAGACTGTGGACGAATTGAAAGCTGAAAGAGAGGAAGAAAAAGCAGCTTCTCGAAAACGAGCCGCTGCTATTCTGAACGCGTCGGATGTCAAAAAACCAAAGATTGAATAAAGTTGATTTTTTTTTGTTTTTTTGGCTCTGTGAATGAAGCCGTTGTAACTGGTTATTTTAATATTCGTGTCTGTGTAAAATTAATCTTTCCGAGTTTTAATCCTGTTACTTAATCAATTGCCCTTTCATTCCGAAAGTGATCGCTTTAATAACCTTTCGAATCCGAAGTAGCGTACGGGCACCTTTTGTTATTTTGCTGAACTAGAAGGACAGTTGATTTTCTTCAGTATTTTATTAGAATAAAGCCTGTCGCTGGATTTCTTTGTGGTTGATATGAGGTTAATTTTTATGAGCGTTTGTTTCTATCTACTTGGAAATTGTTCACGATTTCGCTAAAAATGTATGGCTATGTCGATGACTCGTGTCGGCTGCTTCTACCCGTAGCTAGATAGTCTTGAAGATTTTTGCATTGTATGATAAGCAGTACCTCCGCAATTTATCCATCTTCCTGGTGCCCCATCATTCATGCAAATCCCAGCATTACGGGGTAGAGCGCTCACCGAAACATTGATTAACATTGCAAAGATCACATTATGATGGTGGATAGCATAGCAGAGCGGTACCGCATTTTGCCTCAGTCAATGAAATTTATTCGAAGAAAAGTTTCAATTCGTTCCGTTTTGGAATAATCGGGAGAGACAAACGTGATTGCTCAGCTTTTCTAGTCATGAATACAGTACTGTATTATATTTTATGCAAGCCTGTGTATCTGTCGAATATATCGGAAATGCACATTTTTTTCATTATCAACTGGATATTTCTCAGAACAGTTTTATGAGTAGTAAGTAGCTCTTGAAAAGCCTTCTGCTTTGCTGCTGTTTGTACCCCGCAGGCAATTTTTGGAAGCATGGGCAAATATTCAGCAGTGGTTCTTGGCGGAGGTATTTCCGGTCTTACGACTGCGTATTACTTGAGCAGGATGGGACGGAAAGTTGCTTTAGTAGAATCCTCGAATCGGCTCGGAGGCTGGGTCAGGACCATTCGGAACCCCGACGGAATCAATTACGAAGTTGGGCCGAGAAGTGTTCGGCCGGTCGGATCTACCGCCAATGCAACTTGTTTGCTCCTGGAAGACCTGGGCCTTGAGAATGAAGTGAGTTTAATTCGCCTATATTTTTTCGATGGACGATAAATCGAAACTCTTTTAAATCAGGTTACGTTCGTGAAGAAAACTGAGCCGGCAGCCCGAGTTCGAATGATCCTTCTGGACAAACAGCTTGTCGAGCTTCCTGCTAATATTTCGAGCTTGTTCCTGCCGACGACGGCGTTTGGAAAGCCGTTGATCGCGACTTTGATGGGCGAGCTGTTCAAAAAGCGACCTGATCCAGCTCTTGAAGATGATTCGTTGTACAATTTTGCCACGCGGCATTTCGGTTCTAAAATCGCCGACAATGGAATAGACCCACTTATCAGAGGAATAACTGCTGGTGATTGCCGAGAAATCAGTGTGTCTTCGTTGATGGCTCCACTGTTTGAAGGTCAGTCACGACGAAGTTTATTTGTCTGATATCATTGGTGCCTCGATAAACCTATTATACTTGTATTCTACTGTAATATCCCATATTGAATACGTTTGCGTTCGGGCGAAACTTCTGAATTTTTCACGTCACTATCTCTTTTCGAACCCAATATGGCGGATCTGTGAAGAGCCTGCATGGTGTTGTAGAGTATCCTTCATAATTCTGTTATGAATAAAATAATTTATTTTTCCTCGCAGGAGAGAAGACTCATGGATCAGTGGTCAAAGCCATGCTTGCCAATTCATTGTCTTCTTCAAACACGAAGATCGACAGGCAATCGATGGAATGGTCTAAAATTTTTGCGACTGCCCAAGCAAGGAAATGGGCAATATATTCGTTGAAACCAGGCCTTGAAACGATTACAGAACGCTTGACCGACGAGCTCAGAAAAAGGGATTGCAAAATTTACAGCAATTCGAAGGCTAATTCCATTGACTTCAAAATGAATGGCAAAGCTGTTGTGGATCTTGGATTTGAGAAGCTCGAAGCTAACCATGTTTTTGCCGCAATCCCCGCGTATTCTCTTGGCCCGCTAATAGAGAAAAGCAAAGTCCCTCGAGGTATCGCATCATTTTTGAAAAGTGTCCCGTTTGTTGACGTTGCTGTAGTCAATTTGGAGTACCGAGGACAGGACGTTTTGAATGGTAGAAAAGCGTTCGGTTACCTTGTGCCGTCGCATCAAAGGTACTGTTCTGTGCTCGGTGTGAGCTTCGACACTTGCTCTTTTCCGCAAAAGGATCGTGTAATTTTGACTGTGATGATGGGCGGGAAATGGTTTGACGAACTTTTTGGGACGAACTGCAACGATCCTGAAATTTTCTTCTCCACTGCGCGACGAGAGGTTCAGGAACGCCTTGGAATAACTCGCTCCCCAGAAAGGTAGGTGCTCTTCGTGAAACGAGTTAAATTTCTGAGAATTTACGTTCGTTTTTGTTGATGTTGCCACAGTAATACTACGTTCAATAACAAGCATGGTTTCGCAAAATTTTTGAAGCTCGAAGGTTTGGTTGGTTTAGAGAGTTCCATGCTTAGAAAATTGAAACTAGGATACTTCATTATTTTAATTAATTATGACCCGAGTATTAGAACGGCTGGTCGTATGTGAAGGCTTCATTCGGGACTCTTGGGAGCGATTATTTTTCCTTAAGGCAGAGCAATCTCCTCGTGTCTTGCTAGTTACTAATGTAGCATTTTATTGCACTGTCTCATTTTTTATATTTTATAGTACAGTATTTATTTTCTTCAGCCTTTACCGTCGCATCCGACAACATCGGTTAATGCGTCTAATTTTAGAACCTTGTAAGGTTTGCTCAGTTTTGCAAGATCAAAATTGTCAAGTTATCGTTCATGCAGCAATTTACGTATCATAAATTAGAATGAGGGTATTTTGACGAGGAAGTATGGTTTTTCGTGCGCTTTCAATGGACTGCGAATTAAATCAAATAATCGCGAACACTTTTTACAGGTATTTTGTGTCGGTGCTGAGGAAGTGCATACCTCAACATGTGATTGGTCATAAAGCCAAGCTGTTGCGTTGCAGGAAAGAAATCGAGAGATCGAATCTTCCACTGACACTCGTGGGTGCTTCATACGACGGAATTTCGATAAATGATTGTGTGCATTACGCAAAGGCAGCTGCATTGTCGACCAATTTGAGTTCGTAGCTTGTGTACCTGACTATTACAATATCGTTGAATTCTGCCACCGTCGTTTTATTCAATTTTTTTTATCCCAGCACCGGATTACCATTTGAAATAGAGTTCAATCCGCATTCGTGCTTCAGCTGTGAAAATATGAATATTTTACCTTGTCTTCGAATTTCTGCTTCCGTTGGCACCATACTGGGGTATGACGAAACTTCTACACCAAAAGGATTACAGCATTTTACTGTACTGTATTAGCAGTCATGGGCGAAGAGGTTGACGGGTTCTCTTCCTTGAAAGACCACCGCGCAACAAGACGAGGTGGACTTCACAGTGGCAACATATCCGTTTATTTTTCCACATTCCATTGACAGATTGCTCGCATTTTTGCCACAATGTTCGACAAAAAGATCTTCAAACCCAAAATTTCAGGATTTTGCGGATCTCGCGGTCGGCTTAGTTTTCTTCCTCTTCTTCTTCGAAGATGTTGGCAGCATCATACGCTTTTGTATCCGACTTTTCGCGGACTTCTTTGCCGATAATTTCGCAGTATCTTCCGCCTGGAACACAAAATTCCATTTCAAGCAAATGGAGAACGAATAAACCGAAAGAAACTCACTTGAACGCCCTTCCTCAAAGACAGCAAGGCATCTCTGTACCGATCTTCTAGATCAGATAATGATTCCAAGTTCAAATCAAATGGCTTCACCGGGGAGCACCGATCCAACTGAGCAGTAACTGATTCAAACCTGCCCACCTTCATACACAGAAAACGAACAAAACGGTTCTTATTACTCTCCGTCAATAATGGGAGGGAGCTGCGCCAAACGCCTTCACAACGACGAGAATTCCACAAAAAGCGTAGTGGCCCAAAGCAGGGAAAGAGTTACATTCCTCTTCGGCTTATGCATATTCAATGATTTTGTTTGCGCAACACGCGAATAAGAACATCGAACGATAAAAAAGGACAACTTTTCGGCAGTCTTGACTGAAATTTACAAATTTAACGGGTAGGCGAAAAGAAATGTGACCAAATCTTCAACAGGATAAATTTTAAAACAAAATTCGGTAACATCCAAAGATAAACGATGCGCAATGAAAGGCACATAACTTTTCTGCTTTCAGTAAGTCAAACAAAAAGAGCATTTCAGTCGTTAAGATTCTGACGTTGAACGCCTGGTGTGTATTGAGCAGTTGTTCCGCAGAATCAATGCAAGGGATAACGAAAAGAAGAAAATGCCACAGAGCATTCAATTACACTCAAGTGTCATTACGGGACTGCCTAGAGTCAATGGAAAATATGAACGATCATACAAAACTTTGTGGCTTACCTCATGCTCAGAGAGCAGCGACAAGGCCGTGCCAGACTGACCAGCTCTAGCAGTACGCCCAACCCTGTGCACATACGTTTTCGCATGCGGGGAAAAGTCGTAACAAATGACGTATTTTACATCAAGCACGTCGATGCCTCTCGCCATAACATCCGATGTCACCAAAACGTCCAGTTCGCCATCCGCAAAACACTTCACCATTGCGCTACGGGACTTCTTAGGTAACAATGAAGACAGCTCTCCTGCTCGCACATTTCCCAGCTTCGTTAGCAATTGACATAAACGTCTTCCACTTTCGCGTTCTCCAACAAAGCAAATGACGCGACTCCATGAGTATCTGGTTACTAAGGCGTAAACCACGAGGGGTTTGAATTCGAGATTGCATTCGAGGGAATATTCTTTCAACTCGGCTGGAATCGAGTACTTCCCAATGAATCCCTGATCGGCGCCCACGCTTGTGAATAAACGGGGATAAAACAAGCCCATTTCTTCCAACTTTGTGGGGTTTTGTGATAAAGTTGCAGAAAATAATAATTTCTGAGGAAAAGACGGTCGGAGTTCTCGATGCTTTTCCAAGTTGGCAATTGTCAAGGTATCCCAAACAGGATCTATGAAGGAAACCGACATTATTCAAGGAAATGAAACTGAAAGGTTGTCGGATTTTCGCGCAATACCAGCACAAGTACTGTACAGGTACAACATTATCACACAATATACAGTAGTAGAGATCTTCTCCTAACCGCACGAAAACCGGACAACCACAGTGCATGACTCATCCATCACAACTTTACCTCCTCCTCCGTTGTTCCCTCGCAACGCAAGTTCAACTTGATACATCCAGCTCTTATCCACCGAGTCCATGACTCGATCTGCTTCATCAATGACGAGGTACCTGACATGTTCCAGATTAAATCCAGGGGTAGAGGAAAGATGTTGGATCAAACGCCCGGGGGTACAAATAACTATGTCTGCGCAGCTGATGTATCCCCTCACTCCTAAAATAAATGCATGTTCCATTACAAAACGCAAACTTGAAGCATCAAGTCCAGTACAGTATCATTAATATTTAACAAAAATCAGGCGAACGGAAAGGGTGACATGAGGCATCAAGTGGATAGAAGAAAACAGCATATCCTACACGACAAAACCATCCTTGCCACAATCAATGTTGTGCTGAACCTCATACAATCTTCGGCGTAGAAAAGCGTTCGCATCAACACTGGATCATCTATTTGTCTCATTGTTGAATTCAAATGTGATCGAGACCCTCTTTTGGTCCTAATGAAGGTACTGGCTGTGGTGCGGTCAACCTCTCTCTCTCAGTATGTTTGCGTCATATTGTGTTCTTGTCTCTCCTCTCCTTGACCTAAAACCAATCCCGTCCTTCCCCCTCCTTTGCCTCGTGTCCTTGTTAAGTTTTGTTTCATTAGGTTCAGTTTGCCCGTTCGCCTCACAGTCGTTGGTCGGATTTTTGTTTGCCGACCCTTTTTCTGCGTTCTTGCCGTTCCAGGAAAAGAGAGAGAATAAGAAGACGACGATGAGGAGGAGGATGATGGCAAAGAAGTCGTTTAATTCAATTTTTTTGTGAGGGGATCTCTTTGTGTTCAAACACTGCACTGTGTTGGTCGTAGCACGAATGGGGGGAGGCCGGCTGCTGGAGACGGTGGTGGCGGTACTAGGCATGTGTAGCGGACGGACGTGGTGCGCTTTAGCAGTTGTGTCTGTGACGGGCGGCGCTTGGATTCTGAGCCTTTACCAGGAACGACAAGTGAGAGAGTGTATCCACCACTCACTACACAAACAAACCTCTTTAAGCAGAATTTAAAGGGACCAGAAAAAAAAATTCGTGTAGGGGAGGTTTCAAATTATGGAACCAAGCATTTCGGTTGAAGAAAATGAACGAAATTGCAGAAAATTGTCATTTTCGATATTCTGGCTCTTTACTGGCTTTATATACTAATTGACATAATGCTGAACTTTGACGAGAGGGTCCATTCACCCACTTAGTCTTCCACTTCCTTTTAAAACACATCCCACTTTTATTGCTTTTCTCAACCCATGTACTGTACTTTCAAAACACAGTTTACTTTTATTGATTTTCTCATCCTGTGTTGAAAAATTAATAGCCGAAGTACCACCCGAAAATTCGAGCTTGGGAGGCCTGATCGGGGAAGCCTTTGAGTTAGGAAGTTTTTAAAATTTTTTTTTTCTTCAAGGGAATCCTGACAGGGACTCGGTAAAAATTTTACATAGGGGACGTTTTTGAGTTATCGAGGTTCAACTGTATCTGCTCGTCACTCGACGTGCTAATAGCCAGGCGTCTGCCTGCATGCTAACACGCATTCGTTCGTTCGTAAATTTGATCATGTGTGACGTATGTACACCAGGAGGAGTTGGTGCAGCGCATCGTGTATCGCGACCGTGACCCCGATCGGGTCTCCGGTCCCATCAGCGCTCGTGTCGCCCGCGTTCCACTGTTCCAGCCTGTGCCCTGGCCCAAGGGTCTGTTCATTCTGGACGGTGGTCGGCAGCAGGAGCGGCACGACGTGTGCAGTGTCTCGGGACTGCCAAGGTTCCGCTGTCCATTCCCGCGCAACAGAGACATGACGTTTGCCAACGCACTGCTCTTGGCACTAGCCCACAATCCGGTCCTTAGGCACTACATTGTTGCCAGTGGCGAGGGCACCCGTCCGCGGGCGTCAATGACAGATTGTGACACTTGCAATCAAAGGAGTGGTGATCGTGGCAACAGTGAACAGCAGCAGCGAAGAGAAGCGGAGGATGAAGACGGCGATGTCAACTTTAATAACGGTGACGACGATTGTCTGCACTCGTAAGTCACTGTCTATCCCCGATGAATTAGTTCCATCTCAAGAAACACAGACACGTTGGGGTCCACCATTCTCGCGTAGAGCACGAATTCATGGATCCAAACCAGTGCTGGCGAGTGCGCAGCGGGTGTGGCAGCAGGTTTGGGAGGCGCCTGTTCCGGTGCGGCAGTCGTTGACGGCATTGTCTGACTTTTCGTCGACGAGTTGCTCGATTCCATCGCCGTCACGCGAGTCTCTGCGAGCCATGAAAGCGGGCATTGACGTAACGCCCCTTCTGGCGAGTGTGCGGATGCGGGCCGGACGGCGTCGACACGCGGACCGTCATGTGGACAGCGTGGACGACTTTCTGTGGCTCCTGCTCACCAATCTGGCAGAAGATTTGCAGTGCGGTGCGGAGTTTTCCGAGGCTGTGCTTGGTAAGACGAAGAAAAACGTGGGCGTTGTTGCTGGTGGAGGTTTATGATATTATGAAGTATTTGTGCAGGGAGTCAGCGGGTGAGTCTGTGGTGTCTGGAGTGCGGCAAGCTGGCCTTGGTGGACACGGACTCCGTTTCTGTACCACTGGATGGGCTGCTCGTCGAGGACGGCGTGGCGAGCGGACTGAGACGCGGCCTGGTGCGTCGTGCAGCGCGACGAGACAAGGGGCTACAGGCCGCCTTTTTCCGGCCCGATGAGCCATGCAGGCATTCGTCTTTTCGTTGCATGGCAACGGCAACGGCATCCAAATCCTCATCGTCATCACACAACTCGACAGCAATCGGGCGCCCGGCCATGCTGGTCGTGAGTGTGCCTGATGCGGACTTCGTGTCGTTCCCATTGCGACACGGCCTGGCGCCGGGCTACGATCTGCAATGTGCCCTGTACGCCTCGTCGGTGGAGGACGGCGGACAACGGACGGTCGAGTCCTTCTCATGCGCATTTCGCAATGGGCTCGATGCACGCTGGTATTTTTTCGACGGCCACGACAACTATTACTCGTTGCCGGACGCAGGGTCGCCGTTGTCATCGTCTCCGTCCAGTGCCGCCCTGAAGGACGCGTTGCATTTCACGCCGCCCGTCATGCTGATCTACGTCGCGCGTAACTGGGCGAGAACAGTAGTCGCCAAAGCGGATATCAACCACAATGCGCAATGCTTGTCGCCGACGTCCTCTGGCGTCGTCTCTCGATTGACCTCTTGCCTGAGTGCCGCCTTCCGCTGTCTCCTCACCTAAAAATCGCGTTTCTCTTTCTCTTCCACTTCTTCATCATCATTCTCCTCCCTCTCTTCTCTCAGTTCGAGTTGAGTACTCCACATGCCGCACATACTTTTCCCCTGATTTTTTTTTAAACGTGTGAACGCGTTTCTGGTCACTATGTTGGAAGGTTTATTAACGAAGGAAACGATATGAATGGCTTCACTGAAAATGCAGTTGAACTGCGGTTAACATTATATGGCCTACTTCATCTCGAAGATGAATTAACCCGAATAAGTACAGTTCACCGACTTCCATGCTTAGTTTCAGACAATTAGAAACTTCCGCGTAAATCAGTGATTACCTTGACGAACCAACATCGTTCGTTCGCTCGAAAGCGGGACGGTGGCTTGAAGCAGCACGACTTTCAAGTCTGTACTTGCGGCGTAAGTCTTGAACACTTCCCAAACTTGCACAGCAAGTTCATGAACAGGCAGGATCACCAGTGCACGTATTTGAGGGTCGCAACGCTTCTTCAAAGCATTCACTATGGGCAGCACAAAAGCCAGTGTTTTCCCGCTGCCTGTGGGCGCAGAGACGCAAATGTCTCGTGGGCGGAAGAAATTTTCCTTGAATGCTTCACAAAGCGCTGGAATCACGACTTGTTGAACTGTAAATTAGATAGGAAAAATTTTAAAGAAACGAATTTGAAAAAATCCTTTTTAAATCAAGTGAATGAACTGCTAACGCCTAATTCAAGAAAATGAAAAGTTAACTTTCTAAAATACTTTTACAGTGCATTGCACGGTTCTTCCGAAGTTTACTGTACGTCTTTTTCCAACAACCAACTCTAAGCTCATAAAAATAAAATCACACATAGAATTGAATATTTTTTTATTTCCTTGTTGCATGAAGTCAAAATGGTACTGGGTGGGTCACCTCTCCCTCTAGTGCCAAATTTCATTATTCCAACTCCATATTTTTGGGATTAATTTTTTTATTTTTTATTTTGCGCTCAAGTTTTGAAAATTTTTACTCATCGGGGGCAGGTAATGGGGAACATCCGATTTTTTAAAGATCACAGCTCAGTGAAGGTCTGTCGATATCCCATAAGATACACATTTTCATGCTTTCTCGGGGTTTTGATGGCAAGACTGCACAATCCAGGTTTCCTTCAGTGACGTGGTTTCCCTAATAGCTCAAATATCACAGGCAAGTTGCATTCTCAGAACCAAAGAAAAACCGAAAATACTTGAAAAAGGGAAATCAGGAAGATATACACACTGTACCACAATAAAATTACTCTGACCTGGAAAGAACGTTTGAATGCTGTTGGATTTCAACAATTTCCTCAACGAAGAACTGAGACAAGACATTGATTTAATGGGTAGTAAATCCTTGTAAGTTTGCTCAATGACGGTTGGCTTCGCAATCCAATCCGGCAGGATTTTTTGAACCTGAAAGAAAACATTAATCGTTACACAACATGAAGCAGTACTTCGAATTAATAAGAAAGCTAACCCGTTGCTTCATCACTTGGACAGCAGGACTGATCACAGTGAAATTTTCCTTCAACGCAGCGGGATTTAATTTGATGACCTCCGGATCTGCATTTGCGGCGTCTTCCTCGTCGTTTTCATCTGTTTTCGTCGAGTTCGCTTCTTGAGCTAAAACAGATTTCTTCTTCTTCTTTGTCTTTTTCGTTGCAGGACTTTCCGAATTGTTTTCGCTTTGCTTTAACGATGCATCTTTCGTCTTTCCTTTGCGTAGCTTTCGCGTTTTTGGCGCTGAATCGTCGCTTTCCGAGTCAAGCAATTCATCGAAATCACGCTGGGCGGGTTTGATCTTCTTATTTTTGATGGACTGGTTGTCATTCTGGACTGTATCTTTTAGCGTTAAAGCAGGATTCAAAGTCAGGACTTTCTTTTTCTTTGATTTGGGTGGTGCGAATGCATCTTCTTGTTCGCACACTTCTTTGCAAGGTGATTCAGCAACAAGAATTTTATCCCGTTTTCTCTTCTTTGCAGGGCACGATTCTTGTCCATCTTCTCCCTTGTACCTATAAAAGAAGATCAATTTATCAGTTATTACTCAGCAAATAAATAAGCCCATTCATACCGATTTATCTTGAAGGGACCTTCGGAATCTTCGATCATTGTGGATACCGGACGAATCGCTGCCTTTCACAAACGAAATTTGGCGCGTCACATTGAAGAGCACTAAAATACCTGTCACGAAATTGACCTCGCAAGAAAAGTTGGTTCACGGGTACGGCGGAAAATTTATAAAATGAACGGCGAATTTTTAAAATTCGAATCAACAGATTTAATTCTTCTTCGGCATGAAATGATACCAACACAACCAATACAGCATTTCAGTAACTCTATCAAGATTCTTTCCATTCCTTTCCACTGTAATAAAATCTAGAACATCATGAGTTTGCGTACATTACAGTACGTACTTGAATATTACAGAAAGAAGTGTACTACTCCATCCTTCGCGACTAGAACATTGACTGAATTATTTTTGTCCTTTTCCTGAAAAAGCTCAATTTCTGATATAGAAACCCGTGCAAATATGACAAGTTCTGAAATTGATTATTCAGATAATTGCTGGGACACGAAGGTGTAATGCCAGTAAATTCAGAAATATACAGCAAATAGGGCACATGAAAAGCATGGTGGACCAACGAGTAATGCGTTTAATGGTTAACGTTCGAAGTTCAGCATATAGTGAACAGTTAATATGCCCATGAGATTTACCTTGAACATTTTTAGGCAAGTTAGGTACTGTATAATAGAAAATTAAAAAGTCAGAACAGAGAAAACAAAAAATAAAGGTACACACTCATAAAAATGTGCCAAAAATAAACCCATTCGGGAGAAATAGCAAAAGCGAACAGTCATCACAAATTTAGAGGGGCCTTTCTTAGAACAGGAAACAATGTACAGAACTCATGAGTAAATTGAAATAAAATCAGTCCCTAATATGGGAACAAGTTCCCCGTTTTGAAAACAAAATTTTGGCATTAAAAGGGAATTGTCTACATGTCTTCGACAAAAATTGCTGATCATTTTGCCAACATAATGGCAAAAATGCAAAGGCGCATTTTCAGAAAATAGGGAAGGAAAAGCTACAAGTTTCGTGACAAAACACCACAGATTACGGTAATATGTATTAAGGTTTCCAAAATGCTGGCAATAGCATAAAAAAATTCGGGGAAATACTTTGAATGAGCTGTTTCTTTACGATATAACTCATTCCAGAAAACTTATACAACCCAAAAAATGTCCCGATTCCCTCGCATATGATTTTTCCACAAAACCAGAAGAACCCAATAGAATATATTTTCAATACACTGTGTACTGATGTACTAATACACTCACAAAGGGATTGGTAGGTAAGAAAATTCTGCACAGAAAAGAACAAAGGGTCAGAGCAGTAACGTACCAGAACATTCGGAAGACAATTTTCTCCATCTGCTATCTTTCAGAAATTTTAACGGAAATTTCTTCAACAACAAACATTTAAGGATCGTGTGAGGATCCTTTTAGATTCTTTGCCATACAATTTGACATTCGAACGTGGGTAAGATTTTCAATGCTGCTGTCTGCCTAAGGTGATGGGGCCCAACAGTTATAATTCATAGAAACATAAGTGAAGACCTTCTGAAGCAGAGAATCGACACAGTCTCAAAAACAACTTTCTTTCAAAAAATTTGAACAAAAACAGGATTGATGAATTTAGCATTAATTCTAACGCAAGTGGTTCTTTTTAGTCGCCTCACCTTTCTTCCTGTTTTATAGCAAGTTACGACGAAACATACGCAATTCACGCAGTGAAACCCATAGTTATGCACGTGCGATTAGAAAAAGCGCGAACAAAATAAATTAGTCACGAGCCCTTCAGTGCACTGACCAGATCCATTGCGAACACGGTTTTAAGCTTTTCGCTGAACTCTGCGAAATGGGAGTCAAAAGTTGCGCAAGAATCCTCCGACTTCTGGAGGCATTTTGACACATCCGGATTCACTTTGGAATGCACCTCGCGTTAGATCACAGGGAGTTTCAACTTAGTTTCGGAGGTAAAAGTTCCAGCCGCAAACAGCTCGTAAAAGTCGTCGGAAAAAAAAAATCACTCAATTTTTGACCCAGGTCCGTTTTTCCAAAGCCACGAAGACGTTTCACATCTTCGAAAGGATTCCATAAGTAGCCTTGCTGCTGACGGATGATATTCTGAACAGATGGAACGACGGAACTGCACAAACCAAGAAGCTGTTTGCACAGAACTGCGATCCACCTTCACAAAAAACGCTGAATTTATTCTAAAGAACCATTGAACTTATTTTCCGGAAGTCGATCGGAATCTCTCACTCTGCGGAAAATATTTATCATGTTACTAAGGCCGAACAAGAAATTATCATCACGCTGATCTTGCGACGGGAAGACGTGCGCGAAGTCGATCATCTTCAAGATGATCTTGTTTGTATCCACGGCTTCGGTGGCGCTTTCACTTGTGGGTCCATTCAAAGTCCTTCGACTCAGAATATCCGCGTCGTAACAGAAAAATAACGACGTCGAAAAAAAGAGGAAAATTCGTTGGCGCGTGAACCATTCCTTAAGGCGGTCCATTTGATTGAGGAAGCACGTGATAACTCGCTTGTCTATCCCCGCATTTGTGTAATCCTCAAAAACTGGGAAAAAAGTAAGCATCCCCTCAAATTGTGACGTAACACAAATGGTGAAAATATGGCAAGTAACAAAAGCGAACTATTAGATTTGGAAACAGTAAAAAGTGGACCTACAAACTTTGAGGCAAAATATAATGATTCACAGAATATGTTTTCCGCATGGTTGGAGGAACCACCAATGAAAAAAATTAATAGCATTTCCGAGAACTGTCCTTCAAACGATTTCAGTCATTGGGTGCGTCGATATGAATCCCATAGTCATGACATATGGTATAAACCTTCGAAAAACGTGGACCCGCAATAGTACACCATGCTTCGTATACACAGAGTGTACAATCCAATAGTTATTTTCGAATATGAAGTTAGTTTCTCAAGAACAGCAAGACTTCAACGATTAGGCAGTACAACGAGAAAAAACAAAAAAAAACTAGGCGATCAGGAATGGCTCACCAGAATCCAAGTCCTGAACAGTGACACTATCTGCGAAATCCCTTCCTAGAATTTTCCATTCCTGGGTTTTTGTAACAAGATAACGTGCACCAATAAGAGATATCCCAAGGGGTATACGAGTACCAACGTATTTTTTCTGAAATCAAACACAGAATGCATAATTATAAGATGACAAAATTGAAAGTCCTTCTTCACTTCTACCTCCATGATTTCAACCTTTTGCGGCGTGCATAACGGATCCGTAATCCGAACCCCTATTTTACAATCCATGGCACTTGGAGTCTTCATATTTACAGCTATGTCTTCAAGTTTGAGGTAACAATGATGAATTCCTGAAATCCAGAAATAAGAGTCAAAAACTTCTCATGAAGCACAAATGCAGCACGTATTACCTGAGGTATCATGCAGATGCAGTCCAAGGCACTTAGGTATACATTTCTTCAATTCGTCCAGAATATCCTTCGCGTCACTAACATTGGCATAGAAGACGGTTTCGTAAAAATGAGCCTCTCTCATGCCTCGGCAATTATTCTGTGAAAGTCCTTTCAATATGAAACCGGACTTATGCTGAAGAACACCTGAAATAATAAGTTTTTGACACTTAGCCTCAAAATCTTCAAGGATACCCTTCGTTTGGACAACTAAATCAACATTTTTCAAGGGGAGGCTTTTGGCTCTTCCTTTCATCAGCCATACCCAAAGCACTGCTGCATTCACGCGCCAAACTTTCAGTCCAAATTCACGACACAAAGATAAGGTTGAATAATTTCCAACTAGTTTGGTTCGATAGATCATGACTTAGGCTAGTTCTCCATTCCTGAAGATGCTTATATTCAGGCAAAATTGAAGTCTCGCTTACAGGTACGTAAATTGGACTCGGTAGCCACTTTTACAGGCGCTAAAAAGAAAATAAATTATAAATCAAGCGAAGGAACCCTTCTTACAAAGAACTGTAAAATATTCACACATACAGAAATTATGGCAAAAGGTTCAACATATTCTTACCTATGGACGGTTTTCCTAGAGCACTTCTATGACCACCGACTTGATTGTCCAATGGTCGAGATCCTTCCGGGAAGGGATCTGGTTCGTTTGGTGGAACCTCGGTGTATTCGCGGGTAATCGGTATATGCAACCAATCCTCATCACGCAGCTTCCAGTGCTCAAATTTCGGTGAAACAGCAAGTGAATCACCAACAGATTCGGTGGAGTTCATCATTCGTATAAATACGCGGAAACATGTACGGTGAAAAAGATCATTCTAAGGCTGGTACCCTGAAACCAAAAGGAGCCATACTGAATCATACGTATTTTCCCCTAAAATTATAATGAAACCAAGACGCATTTTGGCGTCAATTCTTCTTCCCCGATTTATTGTAAAAGGGAGCACGACGGGTTGAATCCAACAAGTATCATATCCGTCAAACGGCGTCCTGAATGGGTGGTTCGTAGTTATCTGGCCTGTCTACAGGTGCACCGGCTTCTCCAGAAACTTCTCCGGACACAACTTTTCCACCAGAAGACTCCCCGTGCAATTCCATCAATTTGCTAAGATCAAATCGCGGTTTCCGCAGACACTTCACCTGCAAACGAAATCACAAGAGGTGCGATGAACGATTTCCAACTAAACTGATTTTATCTTCTCAAGAAGCACAGCCACACTCAAACACCTTCCATAATGAAATATACCAAACAATCATAGAGATTTTTCTTTCCATTTCATTCTTGAAAAAAAAGTCTAAAAAAAGAAATGCTGAACTTTCCCACGCACGTCTCAAATAAACCCTGCAGTTGGATCTAATTCATAGAGAAGTACTGTATGCCAATGGATTCATACTCTGATGCCGAAAAAAAGACGGATAATTAACTGATACCTTGATGAACAATGCTCTAGGTGCACTTCAAATATAAAATCACACACCTTGCGTATATACACGTCGTGCAGTGGGTATATGCCGTAACAAGCCTTCTCAATATCTTTCGCGATGGAGTCAGGGACCAGTTTATTTACGATGTCCTTCAGATCGCCGTTCTGAACTTCTTTCGTCATAATTTCCACCATTTTCCGTCGAATTGCACGAACTTGAGTATGCTGTGCATACGCTGTTTTCTTCACATGGTTCTGACCGCGCTGCGTGAAACCAATGCAAAACAATCGCAGCAAATAACCGTCGGTTGTTTTTACGTCGACATTCGCCTCTATCAAAGTCTGCAAAATATAACGGTAAGCCTGAGTAAAATATCACCAAAAGAAAATAATTTCCGGTTACCTGCCACTTCTTCACCATGAAGCGTAGTCGGTCTGTGGTTAGATCCATACCATGGAAATTCGTAAGAACATGCTTTCCCTGAACTTCTTCAGCAATCAATCGAAATTTTCGAAATGAACGTTCAGCGTCGGCATCCTTCTGGAGGTCGGTTAAGGAAACTTCGAAAACTCGTTGTTTCAACCCTTCCGAAGCGATTTCTGAAAAAAAAAAAATCCTACGTTAGGACACGATTCTTTGACGATACTTTTCAACGCACTTGTTCCTTGTGTCCGATTCACTAAGGTCTTCCCAATCTGGCGCGCACTGAACATGGAAGGAGCTTTCACATCGTACCAATCTTTCCGGGTGAAGGGATCCACGCTAGGAAAATAGACGACCACAATGAACTGAAAAATTCACTGTTCAACAGGAAAAGGAAAGTAGACCGAAGGAGTTCATACTTACATTTTCTTCTTAGCTCCCTTTTTACCACTTTTGGCTAGCCCTTTGTTTTTCCCAACAGCCATTTTCAAGAACACCGTATTCTTCGAAAATAAAGTTAATCGTAAAATAATGAGCCAGACTTCAAAATACATAGCGCCGAATTTTGAAGTTCGGGAATATTTACAACAATTGAAGATCGCAGAAATCAGTCCGAACCATTTTATTTTTTTATTTTCACAGGCACGAGCGTTTCACGAGAGTCAATTATAGTCATTTACTCCAAACAATTGAAAAAAAAAATCTCAAGCCGGTGGTAACACACGCGTTGAATTTAGCTCGTGCTTCCCTGGTTCAAATTCGCCGAAATGGGCTTTTAGTATTTCAGCAAACCATCCACCAGCGTTACCAACCTACAGTAAGGTGTTCGGTCGGTAGAGTAATGTACGGCCGGTTGGGTAGGATAGATGCACAGGGTTGTATTGGTTCTTCACAAGTAACTTTTCCTTTACACAACAGTAGAAGCTAAGACACTCGGCGAGGCGGCGTAGTCGGAGATGCGGAGTGTCGAACAATCCTCCAGTGGTTCTGATGATGGTGCAATGTTGCTCAAGGATTGGGGTGGGGACTTTGGACGTTTGCCCTTACGCCAGTACGGGCGTCTAGATGTCGCCCTCTTATTGGAAGGGGCACCCTTACTCTCCCCCCCCTGGGAAAAAGCACTCGCGTTCGGTATTGTTTCACGGCTCGAGGAAACTTGTGCGGCGGGGTGATCGACCCCTGATAATGGGATAACAGTTCGCGTGTACTGTTGTTGTGCCGACGCGTCGTCAAAACACGAAACAGGGTGAACAACCGCGGAAGATACATTGTTTGCGCGGGCGTAAGAATGATCACTGATGGGATGGACGATGGTTGATTGTCCTGTTGTTGGGCAGATAAGACCAAGTTGTTTTTCAAATCCAGGGATGGGGGCTTGTGGCTGTCCTCTGAAGGGAACCATTTCCCAGCCATTGACCCGTCGTATCTCTGGTCCGGCGCCAACCCAGTACTCTCCTTGTCCTTTGTTTGCAACGACTATAAAAGGACCCAACTTCTGCGTCCGAAATCGGCGGCTGGCAGCGTGTTGTTCGACTGTAGGCAAACGAGGAAAAATCGCAATTACATCACCAGGTTGAAATTCGGGAAGTTTGCGTTTGTTGGCTTGTGCTATAAATTTTTCCCGTTGGTTGAGTACATGCTGAGGCATTTCCTCCAAGCGCTGTGCTAAATCCTGTCGTGTGACGGCAAATTCAGTGTCGGCTTGGAAGACTGAAGGAACTTTAAACATCGCTTCAGTGGGGGTGACTCCCGTGGTTGAATGAGGAGTAGCATTATAGGCGAGAACCGAGGCATGGAGATGTTCCGCCCATTTCGATTCGTCGCCCAGCGTGGCTTTCCGCTGTATCTGCCCCAAGGACCGAATGGCCCTCTCAGAGCACCTGTTGCCCTCGGAATGCGACGCCTGTGCTATGTGCTGCTTGATATGTGCTCCCCTGAGAAAATGTTTAAAAGCTTTGCCCCTGAAAACAGAATCCGCATCAGTATGAATGCATTCAAATTCGCCCAACTGCTGACATAACTCTGCTAAAAAAGGAATTACTGTCTGAGTATTGGCAACAGGGACGGGTTGAACACACATATACTTCGTAAAGTGGTCCAGAGCCACAATGACATATTTGAATCCTTCAGGCAAAGTGGGGAGAGGTCCGTAAAAATCGACGACGAGCCGTTCTCTAGGTCGTGTTGATTCGATTGGAGTCAGGACCGTTCCCACCATTTGAGACGGTTGGTTGAAGCGAAAGCAAGTTGTGCAGTGGGTGATGCGTTCCCAGATCTGCTGCCTCATACCAGGCCAGTGAAATCTATCGCGAAGAGTAAGATACACCTTTTTCCAACCTGCGTGAGCCATCTTGAAGTGGTAGGTGTCAATGATGTGTTCACGTTCCTCCGGAGGCGGTGTCAGGCGTACTTCCGCAGCGTTCAAAGAAATCCGACTGAGGGCATCTGGTCCTTGCAAAAATCTACCTGGTCTATAAACAATTTCACAATTAAACCCCGCCAGTTTAGCGTAGAGACTCACTGCTCGCTCAGTCTGTAGATCCCCTAGAAGAGCTTTATGATCGGTATTAACAACAAATTTCCTGTAAAGCAAGTGATGTTTAAATTTCTTTGTAACACTCCACACAATTGCTAAGAGCTCGCGCTCTGTATTAGTGTACCGTGTTTCCGTGTCAGTGAGCACGCGACTTGCATACTCAATGACACGGTCTTGCCCGTGCTCATCAGTCTGCACCAAGACGGCTCCCAGGCTGATGGCGGAGGCATCACAGTGCACTGCCAGCGGGAAATTTGGGTCGATGCGTTCTAAACGGGATGTCTCAGCAAGGCATGTTTTGAGATGATCGAATGCTGACTGAGCTGCGTCGGTCCACTGCAAGCGAGTGTCGGGTTTCTTTGGAATGATAGCCCGCAGAGCCTTTTCCGCATTGGCGAAATTTGTGGGAAGATGGGCCCTGAGGTAGGTTGCCATCCCCAAAAATCGAAGCATTTGTAGGTCCACTGCAAGCGAGTGTCGGGTTTCTTTGGAATGATAGCCCGCAGAGCCTTTTCCGCATTGGCGAAATTTGTGGGAAGATGGGCCCTGAGGTAGGTCGCCATCCCCAAAAATCGAAGCATTTGTCGGGTCGTTGCAGGTTTAGGATAGTCTTGAACCGCGTCGACGTTTCGTTCCGCCGGGCGACTACCTGTTTGATCTACAACATGACCAAGAAACAACGTCTGACGAGCTAAAAAGGTGGACTTTTCGATATCAACCACTGCCCCTGCATTCTCTAAAGAGGTCAACACATCATTCAAGTTATTACACAACACATCAAAGGTCTCCCCGAAGACTAACACATCGTCCACGTAAGCTAAACACTTTTTAAAAAGATGGGGACGCAAAATTGTATTGATTGCTCGTTGGAACATAGCGGGTCCATTTTTTAAACCGAAGGGAAGTACCTTATATTGAACCTGACCCCTAGGGGTCATGAAAGCCGTTTTAGGTCGATCCTCCTGGGCAATGGGTAGATGATGGTAGGCTGCATGCAAGTCGAGTCCACAGAAGTACTGGTTGTTTCTTCCTAGCGCGTCGAGAAGCTCCTGGACGACTGGCATCGGGTAGTTGTCATCCGGAATCAGTTTGTTCAGGGCCTTGTAGTTTTCGACGAGTCTAAAGCGCTTTTCCACTGGCGCGTCGGGTCCGCCCTTTTTGTCCACGAGAAAGGCCGGCGCGTTGTATGGAGAGGCGGCATGTTCCAGAATGCCCGCCTCTAAATACTGGTCAATGATTTCGGCAAACGGAACATTGCGTTCCACGGAGTGCCTGTATTGTCGGGTGGCTGGGGGAGGTGCGTCCATTGTGGGTATGCGAACCACATGGTCAATGAACAGGCCACGCTTCCCCGACCATTGTCGGATAAGTGATGCATGAGCCGAGAGAATATCGGTTACCCGTTGTCGTTCGTCCGGCGTCCCGTCAACAAACACAATACCCTCCCCCACCGAGTGCGTGGGTTTGGATGGGGCACGCGAAATTTCTCGAAACCCAGTAAAAACCCGCTGCCCGTCAACGGTAATGGCTAACGGGAGTTGATGCAAAATATTTCGTCCAAAAATAAAATCGAAGTCGCGCAACTGCGGTAAAACCAAAAAGATGCCGGTATACTCGATGCCGTGAAACAAAAATGAAACGCGGGCAGTCTGAGAAACTGCAACAGGATCGGGACCCAAAGCGGTGCTTACGGTGGTGGAAAAGGGAGTACAGCGAATGGTCAGGGATCTCACCAAGGCATCGGACACGAAGGAGTGCGACGCCCCGGTGTCCAGAAGTCCAGAGAAGGATCGGTCACTGAGCAGGACCTCGAGAACCACTGGCGGAGGTGCAGCAGGAAGGATGCTGGAGGTGCAGTGAGCCGCGTTCACTGACCCGAGTTCCCGTTTCCCTGAATCTGGGGACATTCACGAAGCATATGCCCAGGTTTATGACAGTGAAAACAGGTATAAGAAGCATTATCTCTATCGCGCGTCGAATTATCTTTTTCGCGAGACGAATTAGACGAAGTTGACTTAGCTCCATTGTTCTCCGAAGGCGTCGTTGCTGAGGAGGACTGGTTTGGACGAAGTCGGCATTCATTTGATCCATGGCGCATGTGCCTCTTGTGAAACTTGCACCATTGTCTGGGGGGCAAGTTGTGACGTGGACGGGAACCGGATTTCAACGTGGAACCGGATGTCGTCTGATCCCAGTGATTGAGTCGATAAGATTCCGCGATGTCAATCATGTCGTCCCATTTCAGCATGCGGTTTTTTAGCCACTTCTTTTGGATCTCGTCCTTTAGGCCTCCTTTGGAGATGCGAAGCAGTTGTTCCATCAGAATTTGCTGGATGAAAATTTCGCCAGCATCCAGCTGGTCAGGAGAGAAGTGGAGGAAAGATTCGTATTGATCACAAAGGCGCTTGGCAAAGCTGAGGTAACTCTCGCCGCTGTTGGGTTTCATGCGCCGAAACGTAGCCAGTCGATCCAGATGAGGAGTAGGATGGCGACTGGCAATCGCCGCGACGAGCGGTTCGAAGTCCGTTATGCCACGTTTGTAGAGGCGGTGAGCCGTACCTTGGATCTGAGGCAAAGTATTGTCCATTAGACATCTGACGCGATGGCTGTCGTTGATATTGTCGATGTCCAACCAATTCCGGAGCCGCATGGCATAGTCTTCAAACTCTTCATCCACGAGTTGTTTCGGCAGTTCAGGAATTTGCGGTTCGGCAAACCATTGTGGAGGTAAGGTGGGCAGGCGCACCGCACGGTCAAGCTCCACTGACATCCCAGGACACGAGACAAGTTGTGCCGAGTGCGGGGATCCAGAAGCCTGACGTGGAAACGCAAGAAGAGCAGAAAAAGGTACCTGGAACCTGTCCAATTGTGCTGCATATTCGGCCTTGGTAACGGACCATAAATTTTGTCGCGTCGCCATGAAGAGGTCTCTATTGGTGGCTCGAGCCC